AATGTTATTATCTTTGGTGTAAATTACTCTGTGTCTACGCTTGGTTGACCAGATACGTCGTGTGTTTGTTCGTCATCTATATTCTACGATACAATGACATGGGCGTGTTGCCGTTCAGATTTGAGGATATAGCTGATAGAAGGAAGTTAGCAAATGAACTCTGCGACGATTTTCCAACCTAGAGCGTCAACCTGAGAAGGGTTGTAGGCGTACTAGTGTAAGTCCTGCAATTCTTCAAAGGAATTCCACCAAGACATGATCGGCGAGGTTATTTGCACTGTTTGTATATATGTGTGGTGTGTCATATCAATTGGTGTTTTTGGATTCATTGTGTTTACTTGTTGTTTTCGTGTCTTGTTGTTATTGCGTAATTTTGTTAAAATTTTCGTCGTGATTACTTCTGAAGTTGTTTCCAGTCTACTATGTTCGTGAATGAATTGATTGATGTTAAGGACAGCAGATGGGTCGTATGCGCCGGGGAGGCTGTTCCTGAGAATGAAATGCACACGGAGATAATTGTAAGCTGCGGTCTGACACGCCGGGGAGAAAGAGTGTGAACGACTGAGGCTCGCATGATTGCGTTTTGCCCTCAGACTGCTCTATTCTAGGGTTGAGATCTAATATACTGGAAAACTTGCTCATAGATTGATTGACACTATCGTTTACTAGTTTCAGAATATGATCGAACTTTGGCTGGATAGCTTCATCCTCTATACGGGAGCTTATCTTCACCCACTTCCTTTGCAGTCGAGTAGGTAGGCGTCTCGCTATTACCTCTGAGACAGAACCCGAGTTCAGATCGCTTATGCAATTCACCGAAATCAACACATTTTTGTAAGTCATCAGATAATGCAGAAACTCAGTGAGTGCTGTGGAGTCATCTCGTAATTGACCACCATTACCTTTAACAGCCTCGAATAATTTCCTTACAGTCATCGAAGGTCTTCCAAACCTTTGACGCAGTATGCTGATAGCCTCAAAGTACTCCTAGTTTGGCTTCATAAACTGACAGCACTGCATAGCTCTTGAAGAAACTTCAGTGCAATGCCTCATCAAATACATTAACTTCATTTCATAGTTTAATAAAAATCCACTCAACATGATCTCAAACTGCTTTACAAACTATATATTATCAGCCGGGTTTCCATCAAAACATCGTGGTTCAAATTTAGGCAGTTTGATATTCCTATTATCCCTGGACGGCAAAACAGTAACATCAACCATGTCATGCTCAACCTCAGACACTTCGTTACAATTAACATACAAGTCAACTTGACTTACTTTCTTGTTTGCATCCAAGACGCTCTGTCCCTTCTTTGACCCAGGCATTGTTGAACTTGAACCAATTCGAAAGAAGTTCCAGATATTGCTTGTTCAAAGAGGACTTGACCGGCACTAGGAAAGATGAACGGTGACTATCCAAACTGTCACCAGCTATCTGAATCCGTCAGAAAATGTTTCCGCCGTCAGAAACTGTCAGCCACGTCTCGTAAACCGTTAATGCCCAGCTCTTGCTACGCTGGGACTCACGCTGTCGCTTGAAGTTTCTCAGAAACGCTTAGTACTAATGGACGCAAAACCACAACACCGATTGGCTACTCGAGAATTCTTTATTGTAACACCAACATATGAGCAGCATAATAACTACGGTCTATGAATAAATATTACAATAATAAATCACAATATTACTTCTGACAGTTTTGGCCTAACTTCTTTCTGAACAGCGATCGATGAGACGATGACTGGTGTATTGATGCCTCCGCGAAAATATAGGGAGGTTGGATTTGAGCAAACAACCATGAATTGATCGTTCAATCTTCAACTGCATTGATAGTTTTCGTATGCCTACAACCACGGTTTTAAAACGAAACGAAGTCGATTTTCTCGCGAAACCTGGGGGACAACTGTACAATTCAATAACTATACGGCCTGGTTCAGACAATGAGTATATATATATGTGTATCAAATATTTAGCTGTTGAGACATTATTAACATGTTGACAGTCTGCGATTTGTGATAATATCATACTTGATCGTGCCTATATAAATGGCGTGCATTTTCATGTAAATTGGTATGTTTATATGAATATATACAATAATATTATTATTTCAGTACTCCGTTAGCCTCATGTGTAAAGCAGTTAGTCACTAGTTAGACAAAATACAGCACATTCCTACTGCATGTGTTAAACACTTCTCATGTAACATCGACCGTGCTTCTGTCCCTGAGTATAGACTTAGCTGTCAACAGTCTACAAAAGGCAGAACAATATTCCTAGTCACCACCTGACAAGTGATGTCGAATCGCTCATGTTTGCTCTGCTGGCATGGTGTGCTTTGGTGGATATTCCCAACATTCACCTCTCAGAAATAGAAGGTGCAGTTAGGAATGCAATTATTCCCACTCGAATGTCAGACTGACAAAGGAGAAGACCGAAATCTTTCGAAACAGATCCAAGAAAGGGATAATTCCATTTTATGGGGGGAAGAGTGACCCAAACCAGATGAAACCGTCTTAGACGGGTATGCGCCATTTTGGACCAACTAAACTGCTAGACCGTGGGAGAAAATTTAGTATAATGTGAGTAAATAGCCTGGAATCCACACCTTACGGATATCTGTTAGACTTAAGAGACAATTTAAATCTGTATATTATCTATTTTTATATGGCGAAATTAGGCTGCCCTCACACTCGCGGACCAGCCTGTCCCCCATTTTCATTTTTCTGGGCCACAGGGTAGTTTATTTGATTGGTGGTCAGCGTCCGGCCTAGAAACCTGTTACCTTTAAGTATATAAATAAATAAATAGATTTATTCTCATAGTACATTACATGAGGAACGCCAGTTTACAGGCATCATCAAATTGTTACAGAAACGGAACCATATTATTCAGTCACAATTTACAGTCGACAGCAAAATATTTTTTACAGGTACGCTGGAGATTATACATACACTTGATAAATGTTTACCCCGATAGTATAAAACAGCCTTTTCACTTATGTAAAATCATTTCTGTGCGCAGTTGGAAAAATCTGCTAGATTGTCAGTGAGTGCAACACCTCAGGAAATACAAAAGTATTGTCTTCGCATTAACAAAAAAACCAGGTCTTTGGTGGATGGGTTATAAGTGCTCGGGAAAAAAATAAAGCTTGAAGTCAATTTTCATACATAACTTTGTTGTGTGGAGGATCCTTGGATTATAGTTCATTGATGTGTTATTTTGAAATCAGTGATATGTTTATCTCATTTGATCTGCAATGTTATTACATAAGCTTTGGACGCATTAATTGATGGATTTTTACTGCTTGTGGGTATTTTATTCGCGTGAGGAACGTTCTTGAATTTCATCTGTTCCGACAGGAGTTGTGAATATTAACTGCTCAGGAACATTATGGATATAAGTCCATCACATTATCTTAGGAAAGATGGGTTGTAGCTGGTGAGGTATATATGGTGCCCGACGGGCATACATCTGTCCATGTGATGTTGTGGTGAGTTATACCTTTTTCATGTTGTCGGTTTATGTCCATTTTATTCAACTTATTGTGTTGGGTAGAAGTTTTAAAAACGAAATTTTTTGTCTGTTTGAGGGTAAGTATCTTAATCGTTAATGTTTTATCTAAAATTACAAATAAAGGCAAACAACAAAAAACAAGAGGTGTAGTATTTAAGCTTATACATTAAATGGACCTATAATTTCGGAGGCTCTCAGACAGGAACGAGAACTACTATCGTTTGCAAACTCCAACCTGCGGCTTAGTATTGTGCTAGCACAACATCAAGCTGTAAAATTTAAAAGTGCTCTCAACATTTGTCTTTGCCATGTTCATCATTCCCAGCCTGTTTTCTCAGTAAAATTATAATTTATAAAATTATATTTGTCAAATCTCAGCGAGATTGAAATGAGTAATTCCAACGTTTCGTTCGGAAAAATTGTCCGAACTTCTTTAGGGAAATCAGTCAAAATTAACATAACAGAGGTTTATATAAAAAGAACATCTCTTGTTTTTAAAATTTTTGTCCAATCATGAGTCATAAAACAAGTATAATAAACAAAAAATTGTATGAGCTATGATCGAAATTTGACCTCGGACTTACAAATATTGGTCTACCTTTGTTAAACACCTTAAACACAGTATGTATATGTGTGTGTGCGGGTAAACAGCTGTAAAAATGAGATTTTGCAAATGTAATTTTTAAAAAATGTCTACTTCCCACTCGGCGCCCAAATATTTTAGAACTATTCTGTCAAATCTTGACGACAGTTCATTTAAAATTGTCATTTAGTTGCGTTTACCACAGAACTTCATTGTTTACCTTCCAGTTTCAATTGCTGTTCATGCTGGATATCTGGATCTTTTTATTCTTTATATTCGACCTCTGAAAGGAAATAGTTCTAAAACTTTCTCAACCCTTTGATATATATTTGCGAGTGTACAGTCTGGTCTAATAATTCGACAACAGCTTTTCTGCTGCCTTAGTCTTCCCGGTTTCTTGTGGTTTCATCGGTCTATTGGGCCGAATGCAGAAAAGTACACTGAATTTGTCTAAATACTAGGGGTATTACGGTAGCCTAGATTTGGCACAAAAATACTGCTACGCTATTTTTTTGGTGTCAAGTCGGTTTCTCAATTTCCCACCTACTCTCCTCATAATTTATGCTGGAGTATGATTTCGACTATACTTAAGAATGCCTAGTAGAATGAGAGCTGAGTATGTCAGTCACGAAGACTTCCCAGAGAGATCATACATCCATCTCAAAACAAAACACCTGAACTTATGCCATTCGATGGAAATTCCCCTTTACTGAAATCTCCTGTAGCTCTGAGAAGCAAACACCGAGAAGCTAACTTGTTTGTATAGGCTTAAGGGAAATATATTGGATAGAGTTTTGTTCGGCTGCCAAATATCCGGTGGGCTAATCGGTTTTCGGATACATAACAGAGAGCGTGTTTAAACTATACGACATTTGCAATCTTATGAACACGGATAGCTTAAGCATATCTGAAATAGCATTGAACTCCTAGGCTCGTAGGTGACAGTAAGGATGGTTTCCGTTTCAGATAATTAGTTATGCACTAATTTTGTGTGTTTAGCGCTTGAATGACTAGCGGAGGAATCAGTATGACTGTCACACGTGGCCTTGAGACCATGTGGACTGAACTTGACCTCGAAGTTTACTTGGAGCGCCGTGACCCACCAAAGCGGCCTATTCAACCTTGATTCATGCATGTTACCAATTCTCGGGTTTTTTATATTCCTCATAAATTTTGCAAATGGTTTGGTCTGATTTGTGCACTAACAAATGATATAGGTGATCAAGAATACTTACATCTTCGTGTTATTGACCCGTCCACATTACCATTCTTATACCGCTTAAGTCCTGGTCAGATCGGACCACATTTCGTATGTTTTTGGTTTTTGTGTTAATTAGCTTTTACTTTAGAATACTACCTTCACATCGACTTCCTTAGTGGTAACCGAGCCCCCTCATGCTTGTGAGCTGATAACAAATACCCGTGAAGTCAACCGTAATATTGCTCTTATAATCCGTGGGTACGTTGGTATATTTACGTTTTCACCGTAACTAGTGGATGTAGTTTTGTAACTAAAGCTATTAATGCCCATGTAGCTGGTGCAGTTGCTGTAATTGTCTATGATTTCAATCGAAAAGCAGTCCATACATTCAGTATGATTCAGGATGATACGTCCAGACGTGTTCAAATACCCTGTGCATTTATGAATGGGAAAGATGGGTAAGTTGTATCTACGCACCTGTAGCTTAATTTAAACGTTATTTTCAAACATTTGATGTTCTATACCTGTGCATCCACTGATATGTATCCATATAATATGTGTGTTTGTTTGACAGTCTGTTATATTTTGCTATGTATATATGGATCGATATTCCATTATAATTAGCAATCATGTTAAGACTGTCTATTGATTTGTTCATTTTTTTTAACATTCGCTCATACACTTGTGTTCACACCCTTGTTCGGACATTCATACTTTTTCACTCACACACTTGTGTGACATTGATTATCCTTGTTTGGAAAATACAAGTATCATCGTGAACCTGGTGGTTTTCTGATTTTAGCCTTCTTGCGTCAGGACTATTAACTCACTCAGCAGCAGTACATAACTACTCGACGAGTACATAACATTCACTTACTGCAAATGTTTTCTATTGACGTAGTAGTGTGAAGTTGCTTCTACAGACATTTTCTATTTTTATTCCGAGTATGTCATTGTGTTTGCATCACTATACTCATGCATAAGTACTTAGGTGTTCCTTTGTAGCTGTGTATTCTTTGCTGCAGCAGAGAGTTGAAGGAATAATAAATTATACTTACGCATTTTACTAAGACCGCAGTTTATCTTTAGAAGTCTTTCCTTTTGCCATAAATTATATTAGCAATAGCTTTACCATGAATTAAGCTTTGCAGATGTTTAGACATACCATGAAATTGTCTCAGTCAAACCAGGCAGCACAGTCAATACAACTACACCAAAAAGTCATCTGAGCTAAACTAGTTTATTTTTTTTCTATAACTAGTACCAACACTTCAGTCAGTCAGCAAAGTCGCGCTCACTTAGGGAGGCAGCATTTCTTATCATCAGTGCTTACAGGATTTCTAAAAGTTGTCGAATTGTCTGGAGTTCTCCCAAAATTTGCGCAAATTAAGTTCCACAGTATGGTTTATTTTAAAACATTATTTTAATCTTAGAAACCGACATTAACTAAAACAGCGTCAGAAGCAGACGCTTACTAAGTACTTTGCTGAGAGAATCATAAAGCCTGCTAAACATAATCAATCTCAGATTTGCATGTCAAAATAAGCTTCAGGTGGATTTGAGTACTTTGGAGCAGTACCTGAAAATTTTATCTATTGCCAGTGACAGGCATTTTTGATGCTTAATACTCCCATAAAATTGAGTATATTACCAAAAATTATAAACAGTGACCTAGTAAATGGATTACCAAAATCATCGTAGTTTTGCCATATTGTTCAAGTTTGGTTTTTATTCTATTTCAAACAATCAGAGAAATTTCAAGCAAATTTAGTTGACAAAAGAAATGACGTGCTAATCTCAATGTGTAGCGTAAACAAAGTAACATAGAATTATTTTAGCAAGAGCTATAGTAATTTATTGGTGAAGGTAGTTGAATTTACTATAATTGCGCGACAAACAGATTAGCTAATTACTTCACTTTTTTTTACTTTAACTCAGTCTGCTTAGAATTCGTTTCTGCGAATTAACTGACCTCCAAATGGAAATTAAGCATTAATTTGTTAGGAGAGTAACTGGAAAAGACGCTATAATTCATTCAGAAGTCAAATTCTTAAATCATAAGCCCATGGTACTTTATGTTTCTTTTATTCCTTTACGTTCTAATCGGTGGAATATGGGAAGCTTCAAGCTAGAGCTTTGAAGTTTCGGTAGCAGTGGCGCTTATTTTTACGGGAAGGGTTTGCTGCTGGCCTAATGCCCAACCTTCCCTCTTTACCAGTCTTATTACTGGCTTAGTAAGGTAAAGAAGTGGGTCGGTGGCCGGGGGTCGGACTCTGGACCTCATGCCTAGTAGACGAGCATTCTACCGCTGTTCCACCGACGGTATTTTATTGAAAAGGTGTTAGTGCTAGAGCTCGCTCTAGCAACATAGTGGGCTACATTTCGGTCGCTCTTTGTGTGTTATCATATCTTATTTGGTAAAGGTGAGGTTGAAAAACATTTCGGGGTTTTCAAACCGAAACACGAAATCAACCCATAATGTCTTTGACTAATTATTTTAGTCGTGTGGGAAGCTACCTGGCTTGGCTGCCTAAAATGCTAAGAATCGTTGTGTGGCAGCCGTTGATGACATGGTTAAAAGTTACTACTAATAGCACATATGGATTTAATTCTTGTGATTTTATAGATTCACTGGATCCTCATTTTCGTTAGGCAATTTTCTGCCCGTCTCGCCTGTATTTTCAACCATCTTAGTTTCACTATGTTGATTATCTCTTCGAAGTGCAGCAATTTGAACTGCTACAGATGGTAATAAAACTCTCCCGCCAAATGTAAGATGATGTTACGGGACTGGACTACACTGAGCCTAGTTTAGAATTAGGGAGTCAAGTGGTAGAGCTGGTTGACCGCTTCACTTATTTGGGAAGTTGCATCAGCCCCAACGGTTTGATCTCTGACGAAATCTCAGCACGGATACAGAAGGCTAGCTTCACATATGCCAGTTTACGCCATCTCTGGCTTAGTAGACGTGATATCCGGCTATCGATCAAAGGAAGTGTGTCCTGCTCAGCACTTCGCTTCGTCCTCCTTAATGGCTAGCTGTGAGACCTGACCATTGAGAGTGGAAGACATGAAAAGGCCAGTTGGGTGTCTTTGATCATAGGTGCCTGCATTCCATCTCCCGTGTTAAGTGGTATAATGGGGTGAGCAATACTGAGGTTAGGCATCGATCGACTGCTAGGTGGGTAAGGAGGAGAAATCAATCGAGGAGGCTGTGAAATTACATCGACTGAGATGGTTAGGACATGTGTTACGTATGCCTAGTCATCGCCTTCCTCGACGGGTAATTTTAGCTGACATAAGGTCAGACTGGAAAAGAGCCAGTGGTGGTCAAACCAAAACACTGCTTCATCAGTCAATGTGAAATCCACAACAGTTAGTTTAAGCTAGTCACGTAGGAAGGTTTAGACTTCCTGACTGGTTGGGGTCCATGGGATGGTAAAAACTAATGGAGGCTTGAGACAATTAGTGATATGGCTCAAAGTGATTGTTCTCAATGACTGGGTGGTGCAGATGCATCCACTCCTTGTGACTTATGATTTCCAATGAAACTCTATTGTTCTTCGATATTACTATTCTTTTTGTCTCGTATCTCTGTTTACTGTCTCTATTTTGCGTTTCTTTTTACTATCTTCTGTTGCTTTGTGTGGTACATGTAGGGAGTGTGGCGACTCGAACTTCTGCACCTTGGTGTAAAGTTCTTTGTTGAAACCAGTCAGTCAGATTATATTTGTTTGGAAGGATTGTTGGTTGATTCGTTTCCAGAGTTTCTTGTTGCTTATCCTTCCTTCCTGCCTTACCATCTGATCTTCGGTAAAATAAAAAATGTAGTGCTCATTAATGGTTATGTTCAAGATGAATTTCAATGTGAATGTGCCATCATTTAAGGGTCATCCAGGTAAGGTATAGGAAGACATTTAGTCCCACTGATGGATCATCTTTAGATGTTCACACACTATTTTATATACTTATATAAAGCGAACTTAATTTGATATATTGGTACAATGAAGTCTCTGTCTGTCTGTTTAGTTTCAGCATAGAACTTTGTGTAGATGTGCAGCAGTTCGAGTCGCCACATTCCCTACATGTACCACACAGAGCAACAGAAAAGAGTAGAGAGAGATTCAAAACAGACAATAAACAGATATAGGAGGCGAAAAGAATAGTAGTATCGAAGAACATTATAGTTTTATTAGGAATTTCAAGTCACAGGGAGTGGATGCACCTGTACCAGCCAGTCATTGAGAACGATGAGTTTGAGCCATATCACCAATTGTCCTCCAACCCTCATTGGTTCTTGCCCTCCCGAGGACCCCAACCAGTCAGGAAGTTTACACATCCCTACGTGACTGACTGGCTTAAACTAAATGTTGTGGATTTCATTGACTAGCGAAGCAACGTTTTGGTTTGACCACCACTAGCTCTTTTGCAACCTGATCCATACTATGTCAGCTAACATTGACCGTCAGTTGAGGAAGGCGACGGCTAGACTAGGCATGCGTAACACATGTCCTAACAATCTCAATCGGTTTAACTCCCCCTCCCACTTACCTAGCAGTCGACCGATGTCTAGGCTCAATATTGCTCACCTAATTATACCACTCAACACACACGGGAGATAGAACACATACACCTGTGATCGAAGATAGCTAGCTGGCTTTTTATGTTTTCCACTCTCAATGACGACGTCTCACATCCATAAAAGAGGACGGAGCGGACTGCTGAGCAGTACACACTTCCTTTGGTTGATAGTTGGATATCACATCTAGTAAGCCAGAGATGGCTCAAGTTGGCATATGCCAAACGAGCCTTCTGTATTTGAGCTGAGATTTCGTCAGCGATCAACCCACTGGGATTGGCCGATTCAACTTCCTAAATAAATGAAGTGGTCAACGGCTCTACTATTTTACTCCTTATTTCTAATCCAGAAGTCAATGTAGTCCAGTCCTGTAGTATCATCTTACTTTTGGTGAGAGCAAATCGCACGCCGAACATTCGTAGATCGCAGCTCCATTTTGTCAGCGTCTTCACCTAGGAGGGAGGACTATACCATCAGCATATTCTAAGTCAACGAGATTAGACCCTGGTAGCAAGTCAATTCCTGAGTCTCTAAAGTGAGTTAGGTTTAATTCCATAGGTTAATCTGTGATGAAATCGAATAGAAATGGGGATAGTGGATATCCCTGGCAGACACCACTAGTTGTCACGACTTCAGATGACGACTCACCGTAAGCTCTTACCTGGCTGGCCATTTGATTTCAAGTAGAGTGAGTGCCTTGATCAGCAACGAAGTATACCACATCAAGTAATAGAACCACAATTTAATGTTAATATGTGTGTTTACCCTTAGATCTGACATTTTGTGATTTGGCACAATTAACTTGTATTGTCGTGAGAGCAGGCTGCTAGCCAATTGGTAGACATTAATTTACGTCAATGTCTATGTCGCTAATATTGGCCGTGAGAAAATATGAACAAGGCTGATCAACAACCAATCACAGCAGACTTAACGTGGACAAATAGTATTCTCAGATATATGGCTTAACTTTCTGAGAAACCAGTCACAAGCAGTACAGAATAACCTTGAGCAAGAAACAACCAATTAAAAGACTGTTTGTCCGCTTGAATAAGCTATAATAATGTACATGAAATATATATATATATACGTGCTGATTTCCGTAATAAACGATCTATTGCCTGGCCTTTGTCTTCTGTTGCTACAGTATGACTTAATAATGAATTATAGGCAAAATTAAGACATCTATTCACCACACACTAGATTCTTCGGCGCGTAAAGAGTTTAAAATGAACGAACTCATCCAAACAATCTTTCTTTTTTATCATTTTTATTATTTTTCTTTTTTTTTATGTCACAGACATACAATAATCAGTGCTTTGGATAGTTTAAATTTAACCAAAGCAGTAGTCGACTTTCCTGTCAATGTCACAGCGGTACCAATATATCAACTACGCCTAACTCCATGGACATTATGGTAAAAGTAAAAAGTATAAAGGCGGAAAGAAGATATTTAACTTTGTTATTAATATTATTAGTATTATTATCACGGTGATCACTTTGTAGAATACTTCTTTTTTCATCATCTTCTTCTTACTAAATGTGTATAGATGAATTAAAGATATTTCTGAGTTCTGTGTTTCCTTTCAGCGATTGAGATAATATATCCTGTTTTATATATATTTTCATTTTTCACTTGAACACTGGAATGCCACTGGAATACTTCTAAGTTAAGTTGTCAGAGTGTTTTTTTAAAAAAAATGTTCTTACAGTTATATTTTTCGATGTAAATATTTTCTCTTTTATTAAAGCTTTTATCTTCTAAGCGGATTGTTTTTGCTTTTTTGCTTGCTGTTTTTCCAACAAAGTTTGGTTGACCAGTTTTGATCGAGGTCAACTAGACCTAGAAGGAGGATTGAGTCTTCTAAGGTGTTAAATAAGCTGGAAAAGAAAACGGAGCTCAGGCACGCAGTGCATTCACTTGCGTGTGTGGGGTAGGGTGAAAGTATTAAAAGGTAATATAGTTAGGTGAATGCTTTCATCTCCTCTTCACATGACCTCCTCCAAGTCACCCTTGCACTGACGACCAACTCGCCGTTTCCGCCGCTCGGGTTAAACTCGAGCGATGGCTTGTCTAGTGATGTCACTGACCTGACGGTTTCCTCAGAGTATGCCCAATTCACCTCCATTTCTTCCTGCATATTATTTGCACAATCGGTTCCTGGTTGGTTTGCTCCCAGATATCCCTATCGCTGATCTTTTCTGGCCATCTGATCTTGAGTACTGAGTGAAGACAGCTGTTAACGAAGGTCTGTAGTTTGTTTCAGGTGCCCTTCGGGACGAGGTGTCAAGTCTCTGATCCGCACAGACTTGAGATTAATCAAGGCTTGTCTTGTTTTCCCGATCCTCGCTGCTTTGATATCCTCGTCAGTTCCGTCCGCGTGTAGTTGAAACGATGCTTCCCAGGTAGGTAAAAGAGGTTGTTTCTTTCAGGTTCCTCCCATTTATGCTGATTGTTGTTTGGTGTTGTTTTCGCCCAGTATCTTCATCACCTCTGTTTTCTCTATGTTCACCTGAAGTGAATTCCTATCTTTGATGCTTCTTCTATCGGCAACTTGTTGCTTTTCACTTGCATATCTTCCGGTTTATGGGAAATCAGACATATATTATCATCGGCAAAGTCTAGATCCTCCAAGTTTTTTGTGTGGGTCTAAGAGAGAGAGACAGAGGTTAATCACTGAGGCTTTGTTTATCGATTCAACAGCACATACGTGCCATCGGAATAATGCAACGCCTTCACCACAGAAGATATGGAAAGTTAAGAAGACAATATTCTTCGGCGAAGAGACTCTTTTCAACAACGAATTTATTATTATCAAGCTGTACAATCGTATGTATATGGTTTAAAAAAAATTATATCCGGTCAGGGGATTAGATCAAAGGCGTGAACACATGAAATAATAATAATAGTATGAAATGCAATTAAAATATTTGTTGTTTTAACCATAGTTAAATGTCACGTAGTGGGAATAGTAATAATAACAATCGTAGTAATAAGGGAAAGGTACATAGAGTCACTAAATAAACAAATGTCTATCCCTCTACGGCCAAGGCAGAAGTAGGGATTGTACATACTTCTTTTGTACACAAAGGTCTGGCTTAAAGTCACGAATTACCAAGGCCTCCATTGTCTTTATAAATCTTTAACGAAGAAAAAGCGTCCGGCAAGTTAGCATGGATTTGGTAGATGATCTTAAAATCATGGTGAGGGTTGGTAGAGTGACAGGAGTCGATCAGGTGTTCAAGAATAGAGCTTCGCACACACTTCCTTTCTCCCTTGTAAAACCATGCTGCTGGAATATATTCTCTTATCCAGGTGGAAAGCGTTCTCTGACTAACACCAATGTACTTTGCTCCATAATAGGGTCAGCTGGTGAACTGATAGATGTACATGGAGGCGACCAGACAGGGGAAGCTTATCTTTTATAGAGACGGAGAACAAATTCCGGCCTGTGAACGTCAGCTGTAATTTTGCTACAGAGAACAGACAGTTTTTCAGCATATCTGAAGCTTGATCACCCCTTTGAATTCCAAGTTCATCAATAAGGTTTTCTTTGGAAATGAGTCGGTGACTAGTTTGGACTGCTTAGCATATACGATTCTACAGCTTGATAATAAATTCGTTGTTGAAAAGAGTCTCTTCGCTAAATATTGTGTTCTCAGTGCTACAGTGGGAATTATTGAGTTATATGGAAAGTTGTCAACATGGGGAAGAGGGACAGGGAGAAAGACAGGACATGTATATGTGGTGAGAGCAGGCTGCTAGCCAATTGGTAGACATTAATTTACGTCAATGTCTAGGTCACTAATATTGGCCGTGAGAAAATATGAACAAGGCTGATCCAACAACCAATCACAGCAGACTTAACGTGGGTAAATAAGATTCGCAAATATATGGCTTAACTTTCCGAGAAAACCAGAAACAACCAATCAGAAGACTGTGTTTGTCTGATTGAATAAGCTATAATAATGTACATGAAATATATATAAATACGTGCTGATTTCCGTAACAAAACAATCTGTTGCCATCCCTTGTCTTCCATTGTTACATACATATGTAAGACAAATTGTGCAGTCGTGTGATTAAATTGATTGGTGATTATGAGGGGTAATAATTTATGCTCAAAACCAACTTGTCACCCAGTTGTTAATACTGCATCATCACCGTGTGTGATAATTGAAATAAACTTGCTTAATATGGAAAGTAAACTATTATTAATAGCAACGAGTATATGAGTAATAAGTACTCATATATATGTAAAACTTGGGCACTGTGGTGGTAGTAAGTAATTCCATATTAGTTTGTTTATCAGATATATCACACAGTCAGTGAAACAGTAATATTATATACTGGATGACAAAGGTTCGAACACAGTTCATTATTGCTGTTCATAATCATATCACCAATTATAATCACACGACTTCGAAACTTCAGTTTTATAGTTTCCTTTGTCCTCTCCTGTTTGTCGTCGTTGAAGTAGTAGAATTTTCCAGATATCTACGTGGACTGGTGTAGAGGTAGTCAGAAACGAAATCACTTCTGACCAAGAACTTGAACTTAGGACGAAAATGTCACTTGAGGACATAATTCTGGGAGTGCAGCTATGCATGACTTCCACAGTATTTAAATTCCTTCAAGGGAAAATGTACAAACAAACTGAGGGAGTTTCCATGGGATCACCAATATCCCCGATTGTAGCAGATATATATTCATGGATGGGTGGGAAATCATAGCGATTGAGACATTCAGCCCCACCCCAAAAGTATGGTGGAGGTATGTAGATGACACATTCACCATACTTAAAACACAGAATATAGATAGATTTTTCGAACACATTGACCTCAAGTTGGAGGCAATTCAATTCTCTAATGAATTGGAAAGTCAAGAAGGAGAACTTCCAATGTTCGATTGTAGCGTAAAAAGGAAAGAAGATGGGAAGTTAAACACACTAGTGTGTTTACAGGAAACCCACACATTCCAACAGATATTTGGATTTCCGATCATCCCATCCTATGTCAGTGAAAACAGAATTGGTGAAATGTTTAAGTAATAGGGCAAAAAAGCCAAGTAGTACCAAGGAAATTCTAAGACGGGAAGTGAGGCATCTAAGAGAAGCCTTGAATCTTAATAATTATCCGAACAAATTAGTCAGGAAATATGTAGGGAAATCTAAAAATGAAATAAATAATGTTAGTAGTGATAGTGATAATAATAATATAAATGACGACATGCATATCAAACATGCTAATGATAATGACAACACCAACAATAAGGAATATAAATTATCAGTAGTAATTCCATAAAAGAAGTAAGGCTTTCCTGCAAGAAACTGTTCAACCAGAACGCGAAAGACAAGCTGTCGCATTGGGCCACTCAGCGTGCATATACCAGTTTCCTTGCTCTTGCGGAGCTGAGTACATCGACCTTACCATGCACCAACTTGAAAAGCGCGCTTGTGAACACTATCCAGCCTGGTTAGTAAAAGGAGACCAACAGCGTGTATACAGTTCAGTGACAGAACATCTGGTCAATTCAGCGCCTTTCGAAAAATCCTCCAAAGTAATATACAAGATTCAATCAAACCTATCAAAGGGAGTGAAATCAAGACATTTGGGTATAGCCGAGGCGCTAGCTGTACTAAAGCTAAAACCCACGCTTTGTATCCAAAAGAAATACGTCCAACCCCTGTCCCTGCCATGGCCATCATAAACAGGTAATTTTTTAGTAATGACCATCCTATCGCCTTTCTTATCTAAACTTCCTGTTTATTCTTGTTATTTTAATTTTTTCTTAATCCCTGTTTACACTACTATATTTTCATACCCGAACTTCGTGTTTATTTTGTCATTTTACTATTTCTACTTATTTAATCCCTGATTGCATAAACAGTTATTCACCACATTAGCTTTTTTTATCCAAACATCCTGTCTATTTTGTTATTTCTACATTTCTAACCCCTAATTGCACAATGTCAATCTTCTTAGTTATTATGATGCTACTTTGTGTTGAGTTTTATCCGTCTCCCTGTTTATTATGGCATTTTAACTCCTAATTTTAGTTTTTATCAATTTGACCCATAACCGGAAATTATTCTGGAACTTTCCCATCCATTTGATATAAAACACGAATGTACAGCCTATATGATGACTTTGTCGAAAAGAAAATTTTTTTCGCTGCAACTGTCTTCTTAATAACTCCTATGACCCAATGTGTATATTCCGTGAAAAGAAGAAACCTCGGAAACCTTACACAGAATTCTTAACAGTGTAGAAATAAAAGTGGTATTCAAACCAACCACAAACTCCATTAGAAACAAGCTTTGTCGGTTAAAGGATCCTGTGGAGCCTTTAAAACAAAACAATTTAGCTTACCTAATATTCTGCAATGATTGTCAGGTCAAATACATAGGTCAGAGAAGTAGAACAGGGGCAGTCAGACTAGTCGAACATAAAAACCTAGAAAAATCTAGATTGGTTGAGCCAAATAAGATAAGAAATCTAGAGAATAGTTCAGCTATAGCACTACACCACATGCAATTACACACAACAATACAATACAGGATGGGAAAAGATGACGGTTTTAAAATCTAATGTCTCAGGAGAGAGAGAGACTGATAATAGAAGCTTTGTTTATCGAATCAACTGGAGAGAATATGTGTAATAGGAATGAATCAACACCTGTCCACCCAGATATCTGGAAGATTCTACTACCCCAGTGGCGACAAATAGGAGAGAACAAAGAAAACTATAAAACTGAAGTTTCGAAGTCGTGTGATTATAATTGATATGATTATGAACAATAAATTTTGTTCGAAACATCATCC